ATATAACCTTCGATCCATCAATAGAACTAATAACGAGACAGATTTTCGCATCGAATTTACGAACGTACGTATACGATCGTATCAGGTCGACTTAAGGTTCAACAAGCCCCCTAATAGATGCTGTAGTCACCTATAATTTTACCCCCCTGATAAGTCATATTCAAAGACCCTCAATTAAATATCGGAACTTATATATGTAATTTGATGCACTGTATTGTATCTTTGAGCACGATACTTTACTCCGCTTGTTCCAGTCTACTCAGCTGTAAATGAGTACGTGGCTGGGCAATGCTAGAATTGTTGAATGCTAGCTGTGTGTGAGCGCCAAAAGGCAGCACCGGCTGTATGCTCCTAAGGGAGTTGAGAAAGATGTTGGCTGGTTGAAAAGGCCCTATAACCACGGATAATATTTTGTGATCCGCTTTGAGACGACCTACGAACTAGGTTTTGATAGCGGTATATAAGAACCTTTAATTATTGTTATTTATTATCATTATGTAGTCCCGTTGGGGGATGCTAGGTGGTTGCTAGGATACTCGTTTTAGGTTATGAAATGTGCCACATGCAGGTATCTAGAACTCTTTCTCGCATACTTTATACAATACCTAAAGTGGATTAGATGTTAGATGATACAGTTATCAGGTTACATATACATTTTCAGCTCTAAGTATAAGAAAGATAGCACTAGAGGTGCATTGTAATTATGTTACGCCTGGACTATTCGGGTTACGTATGTTAACCAGTGCGAATGTTTTCTTAACAACACTACCTGTATAAGTCACTAATTGTTACCCTTACAAATAATTGTCCATCACTCCGTTCTTAGTTTTGAGATAAAATTCGATAAAGTTGATTACTTGGCATATTTTAACACAATGATTGCTTTGAATATTCGATTATATCATTGTAAAGATGAAAGGGTTTCTTACCCTTGGCGTAGCTACATGGAACAATACTTTGCTATTTTTATGAAAGTCAATTTGATGGCAATTTGTGTGCTGAGCGGACGTTTTTCAGTCCTTTTTTTAAATTTGCAAATATTCTTCAGCAATTATCTTTCCGATTAATTACAAAGTCATGTTTATAACATTACTGCGTACATGTTTTTGAAAACTGTCATTTGCTCTGATTTTTTCTGCATTTTTTGTCCTTGTTTTGATGTAAAGGTATCTCCGTATGAATTTTCTTTTTTTAAAGCAGTCAATCTTTTAGGAAATGTTATTTACAGTGCTTTACTTAATCTAAATGTATATACGAATTGGTTAAGATAGATGAAATTGTATTGGTACCTTCAGAAATCTTTATAACTTACACAATGTTATCAATCAAATTACAAAGGTGAATGACATTTTCTGTACGTATGTTAATGGTATTTTTTATTTGTCTTTTTTTCTCTAAACATCATTATAATTTTTTAATGGTCAGAAACTGCATACTTGTTTTTTATACTTATGTCTTTATTTCGTTCAGTGTAAATTGTATATAACAGGGCCGATTATTAGACGTCAATCTTAATATTTAAACTGATTCCATTTAGAATTTATCATCATTATTATTATTAAAACAAAGAGGCAAAACTTCCCTTCACGTCTACACCACATCTAGTAATCCGTAGCTAAAGAGAGATAACTCTTTATTAGGTCTTCAGGAGTTAAGAAAGACAATTATTTCCCAAAATTGGGAACATTCACTGTATCATTGTCATGTTCCTAGACTAGTTAGTCTAGTGTCAATACAATTGTGGACAAACTACTTCTTATCATAGATAAAGCAAGTTCCATTTTAATATGAAACCGGTATCAGTTAATTATTCACACAATAAATACTATACTACCAGTCTTTTTCGGCTCCATTTAAAGTATTACCGTTATCAGGGGAATCTTAGAACTTAACACTTATCCTCGGTGCTATTAAGTTTCTTATCGACGTCAAATCAATCCAAAAGCCTTACACTTGTCCTCGGTTCTATTAAGTTTCTTACTGGTGTCAAAACACTCCGAAGAAAGCCTTACACTTGTCCTCGGTTCTATTAAGTTTCTTACTGGTGTCAAATCAATCCAAAAGCCTTACACTTGTCCTCGTTTCTATTAAGTTTCTTACTGGTGTCAAAACACTCCGAAAGCCTTACACTTGTCCTCGGTTCTATAAAGTTTCTTTCCGGTGTTAAAACAATCCGAAAGCCTTACACTTGTCCTCGGTTCTATTAAGTTTCTTAACGGTGTCAAAACAAACCGAAAGCCATACTCTTATCCTCGGTTCTATTAAGTTTTTAACCGGTATCAAAACAATCCGAAAGCCTTACACTTGTCCTCGGTTCTATTAAGTTTCTTAACGGTGTCAAAACAAACCGAAAGCCTTACACTCATCCTCGGTTCTATTAAGTTTTTAACCGGTGTCAAAACAAACCGAAAGCCTTACACTTGTACTCGGTTCTATTAAGTTTTTAACCGGTGTCAAAACGATACGATAGCCTTACACTCATCCTCGGTTCTATTAAGTTTTTAACCGGTATCAAAACAATCCGAAAGCCTTACACTCATCCTCGGTTCTATTAAGTTTCTTTCCGGTATCAAAACTATCCAAAAGCCTTACCCTTGTCCTCGGTTCTATTAAGTTTCTAACCGGTGTCAAAACGATACGATAGCCTTACACTCATCCTCGATTCTATTAAGTTTCTAACCGGTGTCAAAACGATACGAAAGCATTACACTCATCCTCGATTCTATCAAGTTTCTTACCGGTGTCAAAACGATACGAAAGCTTTACACTCATCCTCGATTCTATTAAGTTTCTAACCGGTGTCAAAACAATCCGAAAGCCTTACACTCATCCTCGGTTCTATTAAGTTTCTTCCCGGTGTCAAAACAATCCGAAGGCCTTACACTCATCCTCGGTTCTATTTAGTTTTTAACCGGTGTCAAAACAATCCGAACGCCTTACACTCATCCTCGGTTCTATTAAGTTTCTAACCGGTGTCAAAACAATCCTAAAATCTTTCACTTATTCTCTTTTCAATTTTACAATACAACACTTATATCATCAGCTTAATTTAGTGTATCGATGATGTCAAAATAATCATACAACACATCACTTGTTCTCGGCTACGTTCTATATATCATTGGTGTCGAAATAATCATACAACGCGACACCTTTCCTCGGCTACGTTCTATATATCATTGGTGTCGAAATAATCATACAACACCACACCTGTCCTCGACAACGTTCTATATATCATTGGTGTCGAGATAATCATACAACACCACACCTGTACTCGGCTACGTTCTATATATCATTGGTGTCGAAATAATTATACAACACCACACCTGTCCTCGACTACGTTCTATATATCATTGGTGTCGAAATAATCATACAACGCAACACCTGTACTCGGCTACGTTCTATATATCATTGGTGTCGAAATAATCATACAACGCAACACCTGTACTCGGCTACATTCTATATATCATTGGTGTCGAAATAATCATACAACACCACACCTGTATTCGGCTACGTTCTATATATCATTAGCGTCGAAATAATCATACAACACCACACCTGTCCTTGGCTACGTTCTATATATCATTGGTGTCGAAATAATCATACAACACCACACCTGTCCTCGACTACGTTCTATATATCACTGGTGTCGAAATAATCATACAACACCACACCTGTATTCGGCTACGTTCTATATATCATTGGTGTCGAAATAATCATACAACACAACACCTGTCCTCGGCTACGTTCTATATATCATTGGAGTCGAAATAATAATACAACACCACACCTGTATTCGGCTACGTTCTATATATCATTGGTGTCGACATAATTATACAACACCACACCTGTCCTCGACTACGTCCTATATATCATTGGTGTCGAAATAATCATACAACACAACACCTGTCCTCGGCTACGTTCTATATATCATTGGTGTCGAAATAATTATACAACACCACACCTGTCCTCGACTACGTTCTATATATCATTGGTGTCGAAATAATCATACAACACCACACCTGTACTCGGCTACGTTCAATATACCATTGGTGTCGAGAAAATCATACAACACAACACCTGTATTCGGCTACGTTCTATATATCATTGGTGTCGAAATAATCATACAACACCACACCTGTCCTCGACTACGTTCTATATATCATTGGTGTCAAAATAATCATACAACACAACACCTGTACTCGGCTACGTTCTATATATCATTGGTGTCGAAATAATCATACAACACCACACCTGTCCTCGGCTACGTTCTATATATCATTGGTGTCGAAATAATCATACAACACCACACCTGTCCTCGGCTACGTTCTATATATCATTGGTGTCGAAATAATCATACAACACCACACCTGTCCTCGGCTACGTTCTATATATCATTGGTGTCGAAATAATCATACAACACCACACCTGTCCTCGGCTACGTTCTATATATCATTGGTGTCGAAATAATCATACAACACCACACCTGTCCTCGGCTACGTTCTATATATCATTGGTGTCGAAATAATCATACAACACCACACCTGTCCTCGGCTACGTTCTATATATCATTGGTGTCGAAATAATCATACAACACCACACCTGTCCTCGGCTACGTTCTATATATCATTGGTGTCGAAATAATCATACAACACCACACCTGTCCTCGGCTACGTTCTATATATCATTGGTGTCGAAATAATCATACAACACCACACCTGTCCTCGGCTACGTTCTATATATCATTGGTGTCGAAATAATCATACAACACCACACCTGTCCTCGGCTACGTTCTATATATCATTGGTGTCGAAATAATCATACAACACCACACCTGTCCTCGACTACGTTCAATGCATCACTGGTGTCGAGATAATCATACAACACCACACCTGGCCTCGGCTACGTTCAATGTATCACGTGTGTAGAAATGATCATACAACACCACACCTGTCTTCGGCTACGTTCTATGTATCACGTGTGTCGAAATAATCATACAACACCACACCTGTCCTCGGCCACGTTTATTATATTACCGGTATCAAAATATCAATACATCGGTACGCCCTTATGCAGCACAATTGTTACATCGTCACACCAATATTTGGTTGCATTTAGTATCTAACCGGTGTCCAAAGAATCCGTTAACGTCTTAAACTATCCTCGGGTTCGTTGAGTGTATAATTAGTGTCAGAGGAATCCTATAAGCAGTGCACCTATCTTCTGCTTCTTTTGTTAAACTACCGGTGTAATCTTTATTAAACTACCGGTGTAATCTTTATTAAACTACCGGCGTAAGCTTTATTAAACTACCGGTGTAACCTTTATTGAACTACCGGCGTAATCTTTATTAAACTACCGGTGTAAAATTAATTAAACTACCGGTGTAAAATTAATTAAACTACCGGTGTAAAATTAATTAAACTACCGGTGTAAAAATATTCCAAACAACACTTTGCGACAACACTCGGCACAAATAATGCCTTACCGGTGTCACAATGTTCACACAATGCGCCTATTCTCGGCTCTATTTAGTGTATCCTCGGCTGCTTTTTGGATAAGTAAGCGGATGATCACGACCCTGTTGCTATAATTTCCGGTCGAACACGTTATGTCCAAGTACATTTGTGTATGTCCTAAAAGCGGCATTGTTAATGAACATTGTACCACGGCATTGTTAATGAACATTGTACCACGGCATTGTTTCCAATAAGAAAACTTCCCATATGTCCATCTACATATGAAAAACGAATATACCTTTATGTTAGAACTTTCTGTTTCCAAAGCATTTCAAAATTTCCATTTTATTTTGTTGTAAAATCAGCAATAATATCGCCTGAGCAGATGATGCTTTTTTCTGAAAAATAATTTGGAATCTCTAAAATGTGTATATGCCCAGCTTATCATTCATATTCCATCACTCCATCTTTGTTGTTTAATTGTCAACTCCTTTACTAGTCTCGGGAGTGCCCATCAGACTCTTCCGACGAGTCTACCATTCTATCTAAAGTGCGACGAATATTTTCTTTCGATAAAGGATATAGGCCAAGACCACCCAGATAGCTGTATCCCATATCGCCTTGAGGAGTAGTTCCCAGTGCTGCGGGGATTCCATCCCCCAGTTCACGGGGAAGAAGCGGTAGAATACATCATGGCAGCAGTACACAACAATGGAGTTCATGCCTAGGGAATATTAAAAAGAAATTCACACATTCTCCGTCATGACAAAAGTAAGCTACTACGGAATTCATACCTACAGGAAACAAACCCCCTAATCTGGGACCTGCGAACAATAACACCGACGGTGAAATTGACCAGAATACACCATAGTAGAATTCATACGTAAATGTGACTTTATGACAAAGGATAACAAAAAAGTTCAACATGACCTGACAGAAAGACACCACAATGGAATCAATTACTTCAAAGAGATTACATATTCTCCGCCATGACAGAAATATAAGTATGAGTTGCTAATGATACGTTATCATTCATAACGTCATCAAAAGCATTCTATAAAGATTTACTCATAGAAGGATCTTTATACGCCAGAAAAAATGCACCACAGACAAATGACAGGCTGGAAAGTGTACTGCAATTTTGCATTTAGAATTAGTAAATACAAAAGTACTTCAATGAATCGTTTTTCTGTTCTAACTACGTTTTTTGTTTACACTTTGGTAGTTTCTAATGTTTTCAAGTACATGTTGTATTACAGTGAAATGTAAAACGTCATTTTTCATGTATATTGTAATTATTAAGTATTTAATTGGTAAATATATTTTAGCAAACATTTATACAGGAATGGTATTCGTTCTTTTTAAAAAATCCTTACTAAACTCCTGACCTAATGGCAAAAGTTAAAAAAGATGGATATGGTTTTCAATAAATCTACACGTACGTAACACTCATGTATATTTTCGAAGAGCAGAAATGTGTTAACAAGGAAGGGTATTGTATGAATGTGTTTTCTACTGTAATATAGTGTGTATCGAACTACATACCAGGGTATACGAACGGGTCTCCGTCCCACCAGTGGAGGATGTCGATGATGATGTAGAGAAAAGAGAGGACGATGAAAGCGAAGCTAGCGGTGACGAGAATGAAGGATACAGACCTGTGGAGATAAAAGGTGATCTGGAGTAAAATTTAGAATCCTTATTGAATTTTTACGTTTTACAAGAATAAAATCATGTTTTGCAAGGGTGAGTTTTATGCGTTTTTGCACCTACAATCAAACGATTAATTTCTTATTATTACTCCTAATTATTTTACTTTCATGGAATAATTCTGTTTGTTCCATCATGGGGTTATTCTGGTAATCAGAATACTTTACCCCTTCTTAATGTGTTTGCCTAGTCGACTAAGAATATTGTTAAAATCGTTTCCCTGTTTTGTTAACATTTTCAAACGTATAATATTGTTCCAACAGATTTATAGTGTCATACATATGGACAAAGAGAATTGGGCGCAAGTTTGTCCAACTTTATAATACATCTCCATATATTATTAAAATGAAGATAGGCTACAGTGATTTTTTTAAATGGAGGTGTGATAAACTGAAATCTATTTTTTCTTTGGTTGGATGAGTGATATACTACAGTCTATTCTCCTTTAACTGGAAGTGTGATATGCTACAGTCTATTCTCCTTTAACTGGAAGTGTGATATACTTCAGTCTATTCTCCTTTAACTGGAAGTGTGATATACTACAGTCTATTTTCCTTTAAATGGATGTGTGATGGACTACAGTCTATGTTCCTTTAACTGAAGGCGTAATACACTACAGTCTATTTTCCTTTAAATGGATGTGTGATAGACTACAGTCTATTTTCCTTTAACTGAAGGCGTGATACACTAGTCTATTTTCCTTTAAATGGTAACGTTTTCGTTTACAAGTCAGTTTGTGTGGCGGATACATCATTTCCATTGGAGACACCTACCAAAGATTTTTGTTAAGGGGTACCCAACCGTCGTTCTGTGAGGCCTTGCAGAGCAGTGCACCAATTCCACCCTATTCAGTAGAAACAGAAAAACATACTCTATCAAAACCTTTTCAAAATACCATGCATGTTTGTGTGATAATCAATAAAATTTGAATCAAATTGAATTGAAAATTGAATCGTTTTAACAGTATGAAACGTTTGCATTAATCTTGGAACCATACACATTCCCTGATTGTTTTATCTTTGTTAATGACATACCGTGACTGTGGCCCAGATGATCCATCGAGCTATCCTAGAACTGTGCTTTGGATAAGTGATGATGATACGTCCAGACTAAGAATAAACAACAAGCAGCAATTACATTAGGTTAGGAGATTATGTTATAGTCTGGTACGGTGTCATCCGATTACACCGAGCGCTCCTAATGACCAGGAGCTCTCTACATAACATACATTTTATAGGTTGTATTCGACAGATGGACGTAACACACATAAAGGTTTTTTATGTTAGACATTACACTCAAGAATAGGGTGCATAAGGGTTGAACGAATGGTACAGTAACGTACAACGCAAGCGAATGTTCGGCATCTCTTACGACAGTAAATAGGTTAACATCACTTAGGGGACAACGCTAACGTTTGACATTTCTTTTTCAGGATCCCTGTCACGTTGCTTTGTGGTTTTCCCTATATACAGTAACCTCCTTTTCAGGCGCGTAGCTAGCCCCTTTACCGTGTGTAAGCCCGACATTGGGTTGCCGAACGCCCCTTTTAAGGGGGTCTGGGGGTCTCCCCCATTAATTTTTTGTTTTCTAGAACCTCTCAGGAGCCATTTCCCACGTCCTGATGTCTGTTTTCTCGTTTTAATCCGCTAGAAAAAATCCTATTTTTTGTATATATATATACCTATGTACGTGGATCCAGTGTAATTCTGAAGATTAACCGTCGGTATTGCTTTTTACACCCTCCATACATACATTGTCTGGTTTTTACCTATGTATACTATATATTCAAAACTTAAACTCCACTTTATAGTATCAGCAAGAAAAAAAACCGTCATGAAAACCTATACTTGTCAAAATCATGTGCAAGCCCGGGCTTATTGGCTTACATGGTAGCTACGCGCCTGCTTTTAACTTCTGTTTTATATATAACTGTAGTACAATACTTCCGTTTTGAATATAACTGTAGTACAGTAGACCCGGATACTACCGTCGACAAGGTAGCTCAATTGGCTAGAGTTATACAATAATAATCTAAGTCCAGTGTTCACAGTCAGCCCCGCTGATTGTTTTCCATTCAGAACACTTGTTGATAAGGTTTTGTTCATGTCATCCTTAATATTTCTCGTAAAGATACTGCATGGTTTTCTTTTCAGGAGTTATTAAGTTAAGCTATAGTCACGCAAGGAAGAAGGTTTCCAACAGTGAGTTACAGTTGCTGGCAATGGTACGGGGATCCTTAAATATCCTTATAGAGAGAGAGTATCGTGAATTCAAATGAACAGAAATCAAGGTACAGTAACACAAAATGTGACAGGGGATCAATAAATGATGAGAACAGCAAAATATTAAAGTACGAAAGCCAAAACAACGAGCTTATAATGAACCACAAACCATACCTGAACACCAAGGAAACAAAGGAAAATTGAGGTGAGTGTACCGAGGATTCCTTCAGGGTCGTGTGCTGTAGTAGTCTGGTATATCCTCTGTCAATACACAGATAGTTGTCATAGGGTATATGTCATTAGTTTATTATGTTAATGACATTTTGTGAATTTGTAAGAAACGAAAAAGATAGACAAATATAAATGTTATGATCATATCAATTCAACACATTAAGAAGGATGGACACAAAATTATGATAAATATTTGAAGACGTTACTGGAAAGTTAACGATATTATTACCTTTGTCAAAATATTTGTGCAAGACCTCTACAAAAAAGGTGATCGATAAAAATCACATGTTGTAATGCATGTTACAGGATTCTTCAAAATTTAAATGTTACTACACACAACTTTACAGAGAAAGTTACCATAAGCAAAAACAGCTCTTTAAGGCTATGTTATTTTCTAAATAAAAGAGAGAGCACTTAAAAAGACTTTTAAGTGAAACAACTTCTGTTGTAAGCTTCTCATTTATAGAAGTTATCTTTCATACCTTTCGTTCATTTTATTTCTCTAAATGCAACGCAATAGCTGATACCTGAGGGGTTGGATGGTTATAGATGTGTTCACTGCCCAGTACCATCCTGTCGATGTAACTAGCCACGCCCCCTGTACAGTTGTAGTGTGCTCCTCCCTCACTCAGACCCCCGGCGCCTATGTATCCACTGGTTCCATGAAACATTCAACAATAAACCAGTAAATACATAAAAATACGTTAAAACATGTAAATAAAACACGTGACTATAATGTCGTAGCTATGGAAACAGCATAATGAGAGCATTTATGGCGGTGCTTTTTTGTTTTGTAGGTAACAAACTGAATCATTATGCTAGTGTGTAAAGTAGCAATGTATCATGAAAATGACATAAAAAATAGGAAATGCCACATGGTTGAAATAAACTTGACGGATGTACCTGAATAATGCATTTCTGTACTCATGTAATATTCTTATCGTTTCATTTTTTAGTGCTGAAATAAACAACTATGAAACATGCCTCAAGATTATAATAAACTGAACGTTATTACTTAAATAACGCATTTTAGTACTCGTGAAATGTTTAATTGCCTTTTTTATACTGTGTGCCTTTTTTGTTTACCTCCGGAATGGAAAAATATTTCAAGAGAATAATATCACAGGGTTCAAAGATTTAACATTTCAAGGGAAAAAGCTTGACCAATATAATCAAATATATTTAAAACACAATTGCAGACAAAAATCAAATATTTAAAGACAGTCCCAACGGAGATTGGCAATTTAGGGCAAGAGCCTTGAACAATAATCACAAGATATAACCTTATAGAAAATATCAGTTGAAAATGGTTAACTTCATCACGAGCATACTCCAAATGTATTCAAAAACACGAATTATCTCTCCTTGAATGGCTTAATCTGAAACTTTATTTTTTTATGGATGAAGAACATTTCATAAATTCAATTTTCGTTTTGCAAAACTAATTAAAACCATGTATACATTTAAACAACATTTTGTGGGTGTTCAAAAGGGGAAAACATTATATCAATATATCTAAAATACATTTCTACGGATGACTTAAGTTATATCTTTATCGCGTCAAGTTGATTATGAAATATGCGTGATTTGTGTGTGACGATGAACAACTTACGTGGGACATCCTGGAACTGGTACAAATACTGTGATACACACATATGCTATAAGAATGCCAAGGGCGACAACCCATTCGTGTAAATACAACACAATATCTCGAATTGGTGCAAAACAGCTCTCCTACACAAGAAAAGAAAGAAAAAAGCAAGAGAATATAATTACGCGTTCATATCATAAATAACACACTGTAGTGATGAAACAAACACCCCCTACTTTACTAAAATCCATCAGTTTGTCAATTGCTAAAATAAAATAAAAAAACAACATAATCATGTTTAGGCAATTAAAAAGAATGACTATTGTTTCTTACTGTCCATTCCGTACCATTGTAACGTGATTAAATATACGCGAGACAGTGATAATGCTGTAAGACATTTTCAACTTTGATATTGTGGAAAAGATAACAACAAAACTAACTTCAACATATTGTGCCAAAGTCCGGAGTACCACAGCATTGCGGAGGTGCTTATTAGACCGTTTCGGACAGTTAAATGTTATGCTAAATGTATCTACCACGTTAATACATGTCGACGAAATGTTCCATTTTGTGTAGTTTAGTTTTGTTAAGATTGATCAAGTATTATTGATTATTATTGTAATAAATAATAAAACATAATATAATGATATTTCACAACATTAAACACAGGGACAAAATGAATGCTAACGCTCTTATTTTGAAAAATATCACCAGATTATGTTACAGACGACATCACTTAAAAGCATGCAAAGTGTACTTAATTTACCGTCGATAGGACACGTTTTTCTGAAGATACAGCATATGGGTTTTTACCTTTAATCTCATAATATAAATTCATAAATAAATCCTAATACATGTTAGATGGCGTGTTACCTGATGCGAGTCAGCCTTCCGTGTAAAGACGAGTTCCATCAGGGCTATCACTAGATAAGTCAGACTAAAACGTTGCAATACGCCGGGAATTCGAATACTCTCCAGGTCTACAGCTGAATAACATGACATTAAATAATACTTAGAACGGTACTTAATATGTAATTTGCCATGACATGTCATAAAGGTAACGTAACGATCTACTAGTATGCTTAATAACCTGTAAAAGTACCTCTGCGTAATGCATTCAATAACATATTTATATTTAAAAGCACAAACGGTTTAGGGCAAATTCGTTATACCATATTTGTAAAATAAATACCATTTTTCCGGATCTACCTTTAAAATGAACACTTAATCCAAGTCTTTGCTAGTGTAGCATAGGACCCCGAAGTACAATGAATCAAGTAGATGATGTCATGTTACGATTTGTAGAAAGTCGATCATACTATTTGTTAGAAATATTATAACAGAGCTCAGGTTTGACCCCTGGCTTTTTCTTCTTCCACTTTATCAGATATATATTTTTCTTATATCTCTAATTATTTCAACTTCAAACAAATAACGCTGATGTGATTGTTTTGATTAAATTTTGAATGTCCGTTGTAGCAGAGGCAAATCATATAATTATATTGTGTTTGTTATTATTTCAAAACTTGTCAGAAATAAGAGAAGATTTACATCCATTTGAGTTATTTATCAAGTACATGTATCTTTATCCTCGATATCCTGGGGTTACGCTCACTTTCGCTCGCTACACCCTGGACTATTTCATAGCAAAATTGAAGGCTCAGTGTACACCGCCTTGTGGATGAGGCGAGAAGGCTTGTTTGGTCCTTTGATGTACATCAAAAGAATCTCGCGGTCGCGTAACGGTAAAAAATGACTGACTTTGAAGTCGAGTATCGCCCCTTTGTAATCTTCAAAGAACAAGTATCATCCTAGCGATTGGTCAGTTTTTTTTACCTGAGACCAATCAAACAGCTGGTGCCGGTTCGATACCGTGAGCGCAGGTTATAGAGAAAACAAATGAGCAGTATTAGTGTTTATCCTGGATATCGAGGATGATGTATCTACGGTTGTCAACGAATAGAATCTACCCCTAATAAGCCAATGAGAAGGGATATAAATCAAAATGAATATTCACATTTGAATATTTAATTCTTCAATAACACGAAATTAAAATAAAGACGAAACATGTAATGATATTGTTATTTAAATATCCGTAGCAGTTCAAGATCCTCGTACCACTGTCGAAACCTTTAACTACACATTGGAAACTTACTATAGCTTTGATAAATCATTTCTCAAAAGAGAACCACACCCTGCGGGTCTTGTATGAAAAGTAATAATGTAATCGACAAAATATATTCAACAACAGTATTCTATGTAAAAATTCAGCGGACTAGACCTAGATTCGAACCCTTGACAGCAGATTGCTATACTATCGCTCTAACCGACTGAAGTACCTGGCTAACGGAGTGTCCTGGCTCAACTGTGCTACAGTTGTGTCGAAAACGAAATGAATGGGAGGTTACTCTCTATATGAAAACCAACAGTACAATTGGAAATAGATCTTAAATAGAAATAATGAAATTATATATATCGTACATAATACACTTAACGATAATACATATAATATAATATTGTTCATTATATGTATATTGTAATAAAAGATGATTTTACAAATAGTATGATATACGTCTTATATATATTATAAATAACAGAAAATATACTTACGTCCCCAGTTAGTATTCAGTATAATTCCAATGGCGAAAAGTAGGATAGATCTTTTCAATATTTTAAAGAATATCCTTATTCGGGATTTTCCTCTTTTCAGCATTCCACGGAAAGAGAAATTCATTGCGGTTCCCATTATAAATATAAACCTGAAACACAGAACTGTATTCATTCATTGTTCATTGTTCCAACTAAATGTTTAAAAAAACAAATAAATCCTTATTTTTTTTTCCATACATTAAATTCACAATGTTAATGTTTAAGGTACTATATGATATAATCAGGTTTAAAATCACAGGAGGTATTATCTACAGGAAGGTATCAAATAAAGTAAGTAGGTAACTCTAACTTCGACTGATAAGTCAGAAATGTGACCGTGTGTGATTATTTCTCGCTTTTACTCAGTGTAACTATGCCAACATATAAACATTCTATAGGTAACATTTGTAATATCACGCATGGTTATATCGAATATTACGATGACGTCAGAAATTAATCAATGCAAGACGGGGTTTCCGTTTGATTTCCTAATAAAAAGCAGGCATTAAAAGACCATATGTGATTAAAAGATATCAACCCCAATCCATTCCTGCAACATAATAAAAAAGAACTGGTTTGCAGCCTCTATATGCCATTTATTATTCGTTTACAATATTCTAATCCAAAGACAACTTACCATGGGAAGACCAGGTCAGCTACAGTTAAACCATTCCAAGGGGGATGGTCAAAGAACCAGTAGCCTCCTCCCCCATAATTAACGAATACCATTATCACCAAGCTTAACCTGAAATATGAACAAATGTAGGGAAGAGTAAACCATAATGATCAAAGACCCCTTTACATGGCAGATGAACGTAATACATGTACTTGAGATTATACCTTTTAAATTGTGTAATGAATACAGCATGGCAGAAGTGCGTCCATCTAGGACTCATCTGTGTTGCTATGTGTGGAAGAAGGTGGGAATCTAAATTGGTATAAACTTCCGTTGAAACAGAAGGGGCGATTCGTGAAACCGTTAACTATATGAATTCAAACAAATAGTTGAACACTGGTTAATTTCAAATAGATAATGAGTGAAGTGTGTAGAATGAAATGCACATTTGATAAGTAAGAATCAGAATGTACTGGGGATAAGTGGATGTAATCAAATGCTTTGAGATATTTCTCTTTTGCTATCCTAACTTTAAATAATCTTCTGTAGTCAAAACGTAATTGCAGGTAGCATACAATAAAATTGGTCGACTGATCTGATTGAGTGTAAAAAGAAATTAAATTGAGGGATGAGATATGAGTATATTTTAAACCGGAATGATATCAAACAGATCGAATGGGGAAAGGTTTTAGATATGCCTAGCTCGATATCCGACCCCTGTGATTGACAGCCTGTCAAATGTCCCGTTGATATTGAAATTGTATCAATGTTCTTTTCATCTTTAAATGATATGAATTAAAGGATTTATTGAAATATTAAAAGAATTTGAGAAATTAAAAGAGCAGTTAAAAAGCTTTTACTATCTTCTTTATTTTTTCTTTTACAAATGTCACTATGTATTCAAAGTGATGCTGATCCCTGTTTTATCTCCTAAAAACGTTTACAGTACATTTTTTCCAAACAACCGGAAGGTTGCTTACTAACGATCGATGATGTTGATACAGTTGTATCTGTTCATATAGAAAATCATTATACCAAGCTGTTAAAGACATAGGACTTCTTTGTATACTTGCATTATGCCTACATAATCGATGTGTTAAGAAGAATATGGTATACTTAAAATATTTTAATCGTCCGGTTCGTACCCTCTAAATGTATCCAGTGATTTCAGCCTTTGTTTCCGTGGTTTCTCTTTCACAGCCTCCCCTGTATACAGCGGAGGTCGTATGTCCATCTCTACGGCCCCGTAGCTGTCGGGCGCAGTCTTCGTCACAGTTTTCATGCTCTGTTTAAATAAAACTCAAATACATTTCCTATCTGAAGTTAAACATTTATGTCGAATATCGGGATAAGAACGTTTGTAATTGTTTTTATTATCATCAAATAAAAATAACTGGGACTGAATCAGGGTTCAAAAAGTTCAAGTACTGAATTAACATGAATTGAATCGCTGTTACTTTCAAAAGTAACGCAACCCAATGTTAATCCGTTTATTTAATGAAGATTGTAACATAATTAGGTTGCAAAACATGGATTATATTTTTGATATTACCACATTGTAATGCTGACGGTCTTCCAATACGGTCTTTTGGAAATATTATAGATTTTATCGAATTCAGTTATCAAAGTTATCGAAAATAACATATTGTTGCGAATTAATTTCACGTATCAGTTTACCCGTGTTACTTCGCTAACTCACTACTTTCAGTATGGTAAACGTGGTTGGACGCACATTTATCGTGCGATTAATTCTTTGGGTGCTCTTTTTGTGATATAATTGAGAACACATTAGTATAGTACTTTTAGTTTTCCCTTTCAGATGGTATGGGTATGTACACATTCATATATTATATCTCTTATTTTTAGATTGTATGGCTATGAACTCAATTACTTTCTTCAATAGCATGGATGATTACACACAATACATTTAGTTCCAGACCGTTTTTAGATGGCATCAATGTTAACACATTAACATTCCTCTAATACTCTTTCTTTAGTTTTTACATTTTCTAACATTTTAGTCCTCTCATTTTAGATGGCGTGGATGTGAACACAAAGGTATATTGCTCTTCTTTCCTCTGATGGCATGGTTGTAAACACATAAGTAAAGTACTTTTAATCGTCTTAAATACCAGATGGCAAGGATGTAAACAATTGTATATTTCTTTTATTGTCTTTCTTAATTGTATATCTGGTATGGTTGTGAAGTCAAAGGCGTATTACTTAAGTGTTCTCTGTTACAGTATTAATAGGAAATCACAATTAGATTAATTACTTGTCTTACCGTGACGTGCAGGTCGTGCTTTGACCTTTGAGATGGATCGGTAATGTCGGCCGACCGTGTCCGGGTACGTTGTCTACAAGGTGTTAGTGTTATATATTATGTTAGTCAGAATGTGTATGCGGAATATATCAAACATAAAACAATAAAATTTAATATAAGGTTAACATGTACGACTGGGGACATATCATATCAATTAATACGGTTATAATTAATGATAAGGTGCTGTATAATTGCCACATCTTGTACACGAATGTAACGGAGTATATTGCATGTGTATGCTTATTGTAAACATGAAAATGGTGTATATGTATGCATACTGTATATGTATTTGCATAAGAAGATATAAGTAAATCATGAATATTTCATGTATATGTATGTATACCTTAAACGAATGAACATTGTAATTGTATGTGCGTGTATATTGGATGTATTCAATGTAGGTTGTACATGGATCTAATGTATTTTTATACTATATGTGTATGCTTATTTTGTCCTATTTAGTTTGTGGTATTATACAGATTGGTAATGCCAATCTATAGTACAAGAGACAGACGCATTTAACAAATTTCTCATGCTCTCAAACTTATTCAATAAACAGTATTTTTTTTGTAAAACAGAAGACACATTCAGTGGGAGTTATCCCCCTTGACAACTGTTTTTTTTCTTTTTTGGCACTATGACAAATTTATAATAATTATTATGTAAAATGTACAGTAATTTCTTGTGTATTGCCTGCTCCGTCATATTGACCAGACATTTAAAATCCGTTTGACTCTGATGACAGATTTTTCTTTTTACAAAAACAGAGCCGGTAATATGAACTACTCCGTGTTGCATACATTCGGTGATAAAATCTTGAGGACTATATTAATGTGTTTTTGAAAGATATCACATATTTCACACTGTCTAAAGCTTTGCGTAGACATTTCGTCTCATTGTCCGCTTAATAACACATTCTTCAGGTGGTATTTTGCAATGTTAGAAAATAGCCCGCTGGCCTCAGGCAAGAAATTACGGTGCACGAAACTATGGGGATACACAATGATATTGCGAGTCTGGTGAACTTAAACTTGCAGTATAACGATAGTGTTATGTTTGTCTGGTAAATTTGTAGCGATATGATAGTGATGCTTTGTCAGTTAAATGAGTGTTTTATTGAAATGCATAACTGATAATGTGTAAAGTGGTTACGTGTAGTTCTGTAACTCCACCCAGTCGTGTTCATATGAGAAGTGTGACCAGCAAGGACAGGAGCTGACCGTACAACAAGGGATGAGCGTGCAACAGCCGGATTGTGCATCGTCCGTATGGTGGTGAAGGAGGCTAACGTGTGGGTTACGGCCAGTCACAGCTCTTAATGTTGTAAATAGGTGGTAGGTGTTATACAAATGTGATGTCTCCTACGGAGCCCCATATGATGATAATGTATCTACATAAATATATTTAGGCATAACAATTATTCGAATAATCGTTCTAAAACCCATTAAGGGCATGAGATCCAGTGACGTAAATGCATTCATATTTCATAGAGAAATTGTAGAAACTTAAATAAAGTGCTGTAGTTTTTACGAGCATTCATGAGTGTTACTGACATTGTAATACTTTTGAATAGCATATTGTTGTACAAAATGCAAATATTGAATTTTTTATTTTATTTCATGACATTACCTTATTTTGCTTAAATCTATGTCCTTGTAAAAAATATGGCTAAAAATATCAAATAAGGACTTGAGTTGGTATGTAAACATTATTGTTGAATGTAAATAATTGCATTACAGACGTTGTGCTTGATATCATAGTTCTTAATCAAGAATATCATTTTCATGTGAATATATTACAGCATTATTTATCTACCAATTGAGAGAGCTGATGTATTTGTTTGACATGCCTATTTATATACCTGTAGCAGTATCCTACGACTTTAACGAGGATGGCGAGTCCTATCAGTCCCGCGAATACGAACAGGATTGCTGAAAATATAAACAAATCCATTAGTTTGCCAATATTCATCCTCTATCGCGTGGTTATTAGGATATATAACTGATTTAATTGATAGAACACAAACCAAGAGAATATCGAAGTGTTAACAGAACCATAATCAGTCTAACTTAGAATCGATAAAACTAAGGCAAACTATGGACAAATAAAAGCTTAACGTGGAGACCCGTGAAAACATACAAGGAAAATAAGACCAGGTACTCCGTAAGTAATAATGATAATAATAAAAATAATTCGAGGTTCTTATATACCACTCTATCACAACATTGTCCGTAGGTCGTCTTATAGCGGTTCACAAATTATTGTCCGTGGTTATAGGGCCTTTGCAACCAGCCAACCTATTTCTCAACTCCCTAGGAGCATATAATGCTGCCATTCCGACGCTCACAGCTAGCATTCAACAATTCTAGCACTGCCCAACAACTTACTCATTTACAGCTAAGTAGACTAAACAAACGGAGTAAAGCATCTTGTTCAAAGATACAACAAAGTGCCGTGACGTGACTCGAACCCGCAACCCTTCGGTCACGAGCCCGGCGACCTACCACTAGACTACCGTTTCTCCTAATGAGTAATGCAAGTAATGTCACAACCTCGTAGTAAGCCCCAGGGTAGTTAGAACGACACTAATAGATAGCATATACAGTTATATTACAGGGTCAAGCAATATATTTTAAAGAAAACAATTTGTTATAATAAATATATGAAAAGAACTTACGCATTTCCGCCGGAAGTGGATCATTGTTAAGCTGGATGTCACACCTTTCTGAGGTATACGATGAAAAGTTGAGGAACAGCCAGTAGTCGCCATTCTCTTGAAACTTTTCCTCAAATCTATGATATGAAACAATATTTTAATAAATAATTGCTGTAAAACAATGATAAACTTTTCCTAATATTGATCGTTTTCAAGTTTGACTATATTTGTGGTCGGTGCCTTGAGATAATCCATTTAAATTCATGTACATATGAAGTTTTAATTTTAATCTCCTCGAAAATATTCTAGTTTAAAACTTTTGCCTCTATTTAACTTTCACTTTTTTCTTCCTCTGTCACAAAGAAGAACATACCATGACAGGCGGAATATTAGCGCGTAGCATGTTATATATAACAATAACTTTTCAAGGGTGAAATTAATAGTTGGATAATATGGATTTAACCTACAGAAATAACATACAGCCAGTACAATATTGTGAATCAATATCATGCATTTGATAGACTTCAAAGTACCATTAAATAGGGCTGTGAATGCCACATGTTTCTTTCGTGTTCTATATGACAGGTCTTATTTCACTTAAGGATGTACTCTTCTGAGGTTTCAATCACGTTCAAGTCTCGTTTTGATCTAAAGTAATGGGATTTGTAATATTTAACAACTAATGATCAAATTTATTGGCAAACACGCATCTGAAAAATATGTCAAAAAACTAGATGCCTGTTGTTTGCAGAACTTTTTTTACAAGAATTTAAAAAAAATACCAATTCGGCGGCCATTTTGAAAATGTGTATTTCTTGTGCTTCAAAAAAGGCCAAAATTTCACCTTTTTTGGCACTAGATTGATCACTTAAATTGTCATTGTGTCGCCATTTTTAATTGTAACAGGTTCATTTTTGCTGTACAACTTTATAATGTTCAATATGATAAAAATAATATGCAACAAACTGGAAAATTTTACATTATTGATATTTTTTTGCGTATTTAGTGTAACTGAAGCACTTTTGATTTTTGACCCCGAAAAAAGTAAAAAATAACACAAATGATAATGGGACAAAAAAAGAAGCACACTGACCCCCCATTTTTTGTAGATGTTTTAGAAAGAGAAACACGTTTTCATTTAATTCATTAAATATTAAAAAAAAGTTAAATACCAGAACTTTTTATATCAAGCGTTTAATCTGTAAAAAAATGGTAAAAAATGAGTATCTTTCATTAAAAAATAGGGGGTAGGGGTAACTAAAATCGGTTTTTTGAGTTAAAACAATAAGATTAAGAAATTTTACTTCCATAATTTAAAAGAAAATAATATTTTCAACAATTCTACAAACATTTATACATATCTGATAACACACTTGGAAGAAATTGTATGAATTTGTTCTGCAAGTGGTCAAAACCCAAAAAATCACCTAAAATTACATGTTGTGGTAAATTGGTATCTTTGACCGATCATAGCACAAAAACGAGCACACGGACATATTTTTTTTTTTTGCATTTTCTACTATGCCATTTACTTCTTTTTCCAAAAATCCATATAAGAAAAAAAGTTTAATACAGGAAATTTTTGACTTCTCAGAGGTGTACATCCTTAAAGCAATCATAATAACCTTTTGATACTTTCATTTATATTACTTTTATGTTAATCAAACAAACCACATAAATAGAGCAACAACTGATTGTTGCTTCACTTAAGGATCCTTGCCCATTGTACTGTGTTTTTTCCCTTTATACAGTTACCTCCCCTTACGTTCCCCTTATATAACTGAGGATATAACTTATCACAGTAGGGCCAGGACACTTCCGTTGACCTCGTAGTTCAATCGATAAGAGCGATAGTATAGCAATTTGATGTCCAGGGCTCGAACTCAAGCGTAGTCCTGCTAAATCTGTACACTCAGAAAACTGTATTTTTAATATATATTTTGTTTATTTCATCCGTATTATTTTTTCAATAAAAGTCCCGCAATGTATGGTTTTCTTTTCAAACATGATTTATCAAAGATTTAGTCATGCCTGAAAAACAGTTTCCAATGTGTTGTTACAGTTGTTGTACGAGGAAATGTAGTTTACAGCAGTGACGTAAGTAATAGATATCCAAACTAAGTAGGAATCCTAACGACTAACCGAGACCTTTTCATGATTCATCAATAAGCCTACAAAGCTTTCAGCTTTTTCTAACTAAAGCCTAAATAACGGACTAGGAAAATGTATCTGTCTTTCCAGATGCTTCAGTAACGGAATCAAGTAACAACCTTTTTTCGCATTAATGCCTTTTTTAAAGTGATCACTTATGTTTTGAATCATTTCAGGTACGTTCAGAGCAGTTGTGATACTGGGTAAAACAAAATATCTTATATATTCTATTTGTAAAATATTGCCAAAATTCAGCGGGACCAGATATTCAAGAAAATTGTGAGTCAGTAATAACGACAAATCTATACTACAAATCTAAAAAGAAGCAAAGGACTTGACCATGCCGTACTCGCAAAATGTCTCCAGTACTCCATTGGGAAGGTTTCTCTGAAGCTTGAGCCTTGTTGGGAAGGTTGTGTTGACCACCAGAGTTGTAGTGGTCAGACCAGGCGCCTTACCCCATAGCACGTACGGACACTGTAAACAGGAAATATAATAGTATCATTGTGTTTTAAAAATATAAATTTTATTTAGTTTACAACAGTAATGAAAAAAGATATTTCAGTGTGTTTTATTGTAAGACATATTTAAGACGAAAGGCCGTCTGATTAGATTGGTTTGGTTTGTATTGTTTAACGACCTATCAACAGCTATGGTCATTTAAGGACGGCCTCCCCTGAGTACGAGATGCATGCTTGTAGTGTATGCGTGTGTTTTGGGAGGCTGCGGTATGTTCGTGTTTATCTCCTTGTAATAGCGCGAAACTGATGTCGACTTTATAGTGCTACCTCATTGAAGCATACTGCCGAAGACACTCAGCAGGACACCCCACCCGGTCACATTATACTAACAACGGGAGAACCAGTCGTCCCACTCCCGAAATGCTGAGCGCCAGGCAGGAGTAGACACTACCATTTTTACAGACTCTGGTGTGTCTCGGCCAGGGGAAAGAACCCAAACCCTTCCTCACAGGGGCGAACGCTCAACCAAAGGCCAAAAGTGAGGCAGTGCCAAGGGAGACATTTGGAAGAAGAAAGTTCTTTAGAAAGAAGAGAAAAGATAAGTTTCCAAAATTAGTCGCCTTTTACGATCATGCAATGGGGCCGCAGGTACAAATCTTACGCTGCAGGGACAAAGTCGTCTGATCGATTGCTAATTAAATGAAAAGAATATTTATATTACCTACTTAGTATAAAATTGTTTTGTTGAGTATGCCTTTTCCTGAATAAAAATTGGTATTAATATTATCAAACAAAAATTCCTTTCGTTAAGATTGTTTTTTTTTCTTTCCTATTCCACAAATGCAACAGCTGCTGCTATAGGATGTGGCTTTAATGTCAGTTATATTTTAATGATTTTAACAATGTTGTCTAGAGTTACATGACATTTTACAATTATATGATAAATATAAGTTTTATGGATTTTCCCGTAATAAATATTACAAATATTAAAAATTCCAACAAAGAAAGTGCTGCGCAATTTCATACATGATTCGTAATATCAGCATTTTCCTGTATCATATGGACATCTGTGATATACTGTGTGTGGGTCAACTTCACACTTGTATTGTCATGGATTGGCTGGCAAGGACAAAAATGAGTTGGTCCTGCGAGATATACCTCTTCTTTGCACAGAGATAATATCGATCTTGTCATGACAAATACGCATTGCTGACATTTTTTTTTTTTTTTTTAACTTATCTCAGAGATCTCGTCTATGCTGAATAAACATTACAATCAGAACCTGCCTTCCAACCATGAGAGTGTCTGCAATGCTCAAGGCCACTTTGTTCCTAACAGAAATTCACTGATGGGTGCCACAGATATTTTGCGCAGCAAACTCCTATCGGTCGTAACACCTAGCTCGCCTACTGTTTATCATCATGACATATGTTAGATACATGTTTGTGTTGACTTTGAGTTTTTGTTGGTGTTATCGATTTCGTTCTGTTCACTTAAACAAGTTCATAGACGGAGTATTATTTTTTCGGAGTTGTGCACTTTTATTGAAGATGTGTGAAAAAGACGTGTTTCAGATGACAAGATGTTTTCACTCAAAATTAAAATTAATTCCCTTTAACACGTATCTAGCGAAAATATTGACCACTGCAGCTAGAATGTTCAAATTTAATTTTTCGTCTACAGATTATACCGAACCTACCTATGGGTTGTACGGCATGATCCCCATTTGTATTTGCATTTCTTCGAAAGATAAGTCAGGGATCATTAAACCCTTTTACTGGCGTTTATTTGTCGACATCAGTGTTTGCTGCACGTCGAATTTGTTTGCAAAGCTTATCGCTTATAGGTGTATAAGATATATATATTGTGCATGTAGGGAAATTGTTTTGTAGGTAATATAACAACTTTGATATATTTTCCCCCTGGAAGACGGTATGAAATGTGCATTAGTCGTTGAATTAAATAGCCTGCTCGAAATATAATGACTTCACTTATTTTGAATTATTTACCCCCGCTTCATCAAAGTATTGTTTTATTTCAGATAGCGGTAAAATAGTACCAACAACGTACACTGTTTAAGACACACGCTGACATGTGTATGTTAGATATGTTAAATATGCTCAGAAATACTTTCCATCTCCGTTACTGACCTTAAAGCACTCTGTGTTGATGTAGAAGATGGAGGTAGAAAACAGTACGGTGGAGTTGATAGAAAGCCAGGCCTCGTCGAACTGGATAACGGGTTTGTTATCATCATTCCTCTCCGCTACTGCTTGTGTGACGTAACCTGTCGTAGTATAAACAAACGTCCTATCAACATCTGAAGTCATCCATGTGTGTTGTGTATGTGTGCATGTGTGTTTGTGTGTCGGGGGCAGGGTATGTTGGATCTTTGCCTCCTTGTGAAAGCGCGGATCATAGTATAAACAGCAAACGTTTTTTCAACGACTCGTGCCTGGTTGATTTGGGGCAATCAAAATGGTAAAACTAAATAAGGTGTATCATGAATAGGAGATGTATCACTGTCTTATTTGGGTTTGCTAAAGAGAGTTCATACTTTCTTTCTGTTTTGGGAACCTTTGGTTTGTTAATGCGGATAGATCTTCTAAGGAGGTAATACGGATTATTTTTATTAACGAACTACCAAGAAAGTATGGGAAAACGGCGCAATATAGACGATTCATTTTTCAAGACAAAGGCATATATACGACTATATTTGTGACGCCATGTCTATGTCGCTTAGACGCATGGACTCCTCTATGCCTAACAGCGATATGATAGATGCTTACTCGGGGTTATTGGAGTGTTTTAGTCTCATATGTGTAAAAGAGATGATTTTGATGATAGGTCTTTGTCACAGGGAGGTTTGTATTACTCTGACTAATAGAAATATGTGAGATGGTTAGTTTTTGTCACAGTGGATATGTGATCAATACCAGTCTGTATCACTGGGAGGTTTGAACTTCTTTTTGCGAGAGATGTTTATGCCTTTGGTTTATGTCACTGAGGGCTTTAAATTCCTCTGATTAAATAGGATGTGTTAAATGATTGTCTTCGTCACCGAGAGGTGATTTCATTTGGTGTTATTTATCTATATGTTGTTCATGTTTTGGATGACCGCGGTAATGCATTAAATAAAGACTATTCGGACAAATAAAGATAGTTTTTGTTTGCTTAAATTTTGACTCTTCTGACTAACTAGTGTTATTTATCTATATGTTGTTCATGTTTTGGATGACCGCGGCAATGCATTAAATAAAGACTGTTCGGACAATGAGGTCGGTTTTTGTTTGCTTAAATTTTGATCTTTGTCAATGTTAGGTTTTGGTTCCTCTGTAAGATGTGCGTTCAAATATATTTGACTCATCGAGGTTCGTGTACTCATAATGTTAATTTCACTTAGTTTAAAAGAACGATAGATATGTTTAACCACTTCTGTTAATCACCTTTCCTGGCCCCTAAGGAAGCGCGCTGGTATAACCAGCAACGAGTATGTTTCAAAGTCACAATCTCAATTGATTCCATCAATTAAGAAATATTTATAAACTGCTTTTGCCATGTTAATACTGTATTCCGTAAAGGTAATAATTTGATAGAATCTGATTTCCCGTGAGGACATTGACAAACTGTAACATTTAGTGGACACGGCCATCCTGAGTATATCACTACAAAGGAGTGACACTATGAAAGTGAACGCAAACCAAGTCCCATTGGCTAAATTGCATTTCGCCGTGAGCTAATTCTTTTGCAATTTATCTAGTGCATGTATTATACAAAGATATTTCTGATTGGATCAGTCTTTGCTGTATGTACAATGCGGAGCATTCTCTAATGGCAATCGACTTAGTTATACGTCACGTATCATTTACATTGATAAGGTAGTGGTATTTGTATACCTGTGTTGTGGCGAAAGAGTAGGATATACATGTATATATAAATATCCTGTGATGTATTTTTGAATGTAAATAAAATATGTGAAAGTTAATGATGAATATTGATGAAAATAGTTTTTATGGAAATAATATGTGTTTTAATGTATTAATTGCAAGAGAATGCTTTGTCTTCAATGCTAATTAAAAGTGTAGTTTTTTCAATTTAATTGATACGTTTGGAATGCAATTGTAAATATAAGATATCTTGAGCTTGGCGCACCATAACGCTTTTTTATTTAGAGTACAATGTTCGTTCCGCCATTTAGATTAATACAATTACACTGCGATCAATCTTATTGCCATGCTGATAAATAAATATATGTGTGTCTGTTTTTGTGCTAATATAACAAAACAGAGATGAATATTCATAACCGCTATGGTTCCATGGATCTGTCATGCCTTATATCAGACGATATATAATATACAATGAAGTTGGTTTCAATACATGACAATGGCGGCGTGATAATCACCAGTGTGTTTTATTCTTCCAATAACTGCTGCCTCACTGTCCGGATCGTCTATATGAACGAATTATACATTATTTTAATCATGACAAAATCCTCGCCTAAGACATCAAAGGATATTTATAACTCCTCTGTGTAGAACCAGCTTATACAAAAACAGCTCTTTTCCTAGAGTGATGTCTTTTTTTAACAAGCCAGACTGTCTTTTTCCACAACTCATGTCATTGTCACAGTTAACAGAAGTTATTTAAGCAACGAACAATCATACAAGCACCTAACTTCACAGGTATGTATATATATATGATGGCTCAAAGACATTGATAAAATGTTATGTCAACTATTCGGAATAACATCAGTAGCTGAATTAAGATTTATGCAAGTATCATCTTGCGGATAACCTGAATTGTGTTTGTGTTAGCTCTAATGGAGATGTAAGTCACTTCTTCCTCAATTGACCCAAATAGATATATGAAAGGTAAGTCTTGTCTCATTAATTAATTAACGGGATTGTCAATATCATCTTCGATACTAATATTCTCACTAAAGGAGACATATTACTGAATCAAATAAATGTATTCTCTCTTGCGTTCTGGACGATATTGAAAAAATCTGGAAGATTTTAACGTATGCTGTTTTGAAAATGATTTATTTTCTATATCGTTCATGCTGGTCTGGTGTGATTGGTTAGCATGACACTGTGTAGTGTCGGGGGATTTCGATTTGCCTCTAAGCATATCCAGAGTTCTATTTGTTAATATCTGTGTTAATGTATCAATATTCTAGCTAAATTGTTCTAGCTTTCTTCTATTTATCTGAATATACATGTTGAACATGTTCTGTATGCACTATAGTTGTGTGTGTGTATGAATGTATGAAGTATATGCTCTCCCTTCTGGAAAGGGCTTTAATAAGCGATTCATATGATTTATCCAATTGTATTCCTAATATGTATGTAATAAAATTGATTTGAAATGAAAAAGATATATGATATCAATGTATATGATATCATTTCAATGATATTGTTAATTACGTCACTCACTGTCAACTCTCAAAAATCAATACATGATGATGGCAATAATAGCTTATAATGATTAATAAGTATGTAGATGATTCGTTACAATTATGTTAAACGTTCATATGTCGTTAAAAAAAACCTTATATTTTCTGAAAAAAAAATAATGTAAGCCGTACACCTTTTAGGCGCATATCTGTATACTAAATCAAGACCATAAATCTTTAATACATAAAGATGTCGTTTGTACTAGCTGCCATGTACTTTATAATAAATAGATTAAGTTTAAGGTAGCATCATGTTGTATGTATGTGTTGCCATGTGCTATATGTACCTTAAGATAAATGACGAGTTAAATCATGTATACAGTTAAACTTTCTACCGTAGTAGTAGTCTACAATCAGTTAACACTATATTAAATATACCTGTATACTCACAGAACAGAAGAAAACATAAACGATTCCACATCTCTAAGGTTCTACGATGACACTATCTGAGCGACATTACCGGGAAACAACATACAAGAGGTATACATCGATCTACGACAGCCTCGATGGGAGTGATATGTTCCAGTAGGTATATATAAACATTACAAACTACGACAGACGATAAGGAACATAGATATCACGTGATAGATAGATGCGATAAGCTAGGGACTATACATCACCGTGATCAATGACGAATGCCTACCTCTTTACTAAGATCAAAGTGGATGAGTTGTCAAGCGCTCACATCTGGACCCTTGTAGACTGTAGTCCCTCTATGTTTGATTTACATGAAAATCATTCATAAGAAAGAAATACAAAAATCATTTTATGACTGATCTAAAAATTACCATTTTTAAAGAGATCTTTTATACTCACTAGAGATACAGTTTCAGTGTTAAAGGTCAACCTTTACATATTAAGTACGGCTATGCGTTAAGTTACATGTATTATGAAGCAGACAATGTTTTGTACGATTGAGCTATGATCATTGTGTGCGACCAATCACGTGACAACAATATTCCCTTAACCAAACGTTTTAGGCTAGTGTATGAATAGATGTGGATGCCTTTTGCTTGTAAAAATCAAAATAGATTTATTCGAAATCGTGAAACACAATATAGAGTGTAATGTCTGACGTGAATGTTAAATACATGTGCCGGAGGAAAACTTTTTCTGAGTGAAGCGAAGCGACAAGACTCTCATTGAGCAATGTAAATCTATGACGTCATAAGTAAACCACGTGTTACGTCACGAGAGTTTTTTTTTGCTTTCATACTCAAATGAAATGCATTTAAGCTAGTAATGTGTAAACAAATTGCATTAGTTTGTGGGTTTATTCTTAAAGGTGACAATATCTTCAATCAATGGATTTGGAATGTAAATAGATTATCCAATTAAAATGAGTGTCTGGTACATTTTAATTAGCTCAATTTTGATAAGTTTCTGTATATTTGGTATATAAAGGCTTCCATATAAAATAGTTAGAAAGTTTTTAAATATTTAGTTGTCATGTTGCCGTTATCACCTGTCCGTACCTTTTACTCAGTGCATACCTGTAGCGTGGGGGACACGTTGGGGACACAGTGTGGGCGACCTGGTTACAATAAATACGTGTGACGTTAACTACAGGTGTACTTAGGTAATAAATCAAGCCCGCCAGCAGCGTCTTATCTCCCAGTCACAGTGATGGACCTCTCTCCACTGCGACAACTCACTTTATTACGTTAACGAAGGGCAATAAAATTGGCTCGGTATAGCAGTAACATTAGGTCAACACACCTACCGAGTGTTGCTTATGATCTAAATTATATATCCTTGAATCTTGATCTACATCCATTCAGGTGTATCAACCTATGAGCTTTAATACATAATTTGTATTGGAGTCAGCGCAAGTTAATTTACATAATGCATAACTGATAATAATAAGCTGTGATATAACGCAACCGCAAAACGCAAATTAACGTAATGATTGTGGCGTCAAAATCGTGATGATATCTCACTCTGATTAATAACAAATTTAAGCTTCAAAAGCTAAGAAGAAAATTGTTTTATTTTTTTAAGAAAATAAGGTATACTGTTCAAACACGCTGCTCCAAATTGTATATTAAAGAAAAAATGAAAAAACACATATACAGAAATACTTCCAATTTCATAGTTCCGTTTAAATTCCATTATAAACTACATGTATTCAAAATTGTCATTCTGGGTAGTAAAAAACATCCAATCAAAAGAAAAAGGCCGACATTTAATGAGCATGTTGGTTACCACGGATACAAAATGTAAGCTTAGCGAAATTAAAATAACACTCAAAATTAATTTCTTAATTAACTTTAAGCTTTTCAGTTTATCAGTATACATTGCAAACACTGCACTAATACCAATCAGTGTTAAATAACTTGTTAAATGATAACCTGAAAAATGTTTGTAAAATTGCTAACAACATTATAATTTTTGAGTAGCTAGTGGCACATGGTAGTATTTAAGTGCAGAAGTTGAGGTTACGTATTGATACAGTGCAGTATGGTACAGGGGAAACTCGCATTCCAAAGATTTAGATAAAAAAAAATAACACGCACAACTTATCTTCAAAAGCCGACCAGAGTACCAGTCGTTCGATTTCAATATCATTAGAGCTTGCGTCCTGTTTTTTGTTCAGTTTTTCTTTTAAGACACTGTGTGATATTATCTATGGAGGTTACCGATAACAGGTAACCCATATGTTTAGCTCCATTCAATTCTGTTCCGCATTTTCGTAATTCTATAAACTGCTGACATATTTTATTGAAATGCAACAAGATGACGACTTTGTGTACAGGCTCCGTAAAACTACATCGTTCGTTTGAGTTTAAAACCAAAATTCGTTATTTGTAAAATCTGTATTCACCAATCGAAAAGCAACTCTTTCGATCAGTGTGCATTACATGAGCAAAATGACGTCACAAAAATCCTTAGAAAATCGGAGGAAATTGCAAAGCTATTTTAAGCGGTTATGAAGAAAAGAAATATTCACACACAGAAACATTCATTCTTTCTATGTAACATTAATTGTTTGTCAATTACAACTCGTCCGTTAATGACAATGCATATTCTAGTTTATCATTTGAATTCATCGAGGCTATAACTTCAGTCCAAGCAAATAAACCAATTACAAATTATTCGATCCGTATTCAAGTTACATCAAACCTGCAGGTGACATGTAGTTTATTCCACGTTGTACAGTACCACACGCTGAAGCTGAGACCCATAAAGTATTGTACAGAGCGTAGTAACGTAGCGTGACAATATCTTTATCGTACGTGCTTCGTAAACAGACTTTCACCTTGATGAGGCAAAGATGAAACAGGGACTGCTTGCCACACCATTCCATGTCGCCCATATCTTTGATGACATTGATGACATTAACTGGGCTCATTAGAAACTCTACAATGACATAATAAATTATCACATTCCTATTAAACAGAAATTCCAAAGGAAATCACAGGCTCCTTGTATGAATGGTACTCGTGGGAAAGGAGTAAATAAAAATAAAGTCAAACCGACAAAAACTGGCGATATTTCAAAAAAACCCAGAGAAAGCTTGAAACAAAACTAAGAGCAAAACAATAAGATTGTATTTTACTGAGAGGTGCGGAGGCGGCCAAGGATCTCAGGGATTTCTGGCCGACCATCCGATCTTTTTTTATCAAACAAAGGTGGTTAATACGAGCAAAATATTCAGCTCATTGAAAATGAAAAAGAAGTGACAGTATAGACTCTAAAGTATCTAAAATTTTAATGATTTCTTTGCAAATGTTGCTTCAGATATTTGAAAAGATTCATCATATCCAATAAATGTATCCCATCCTTGTGTTTTAGCATTTAAGAAAAAAATGCAAATATACATAACGCTGAGAATGTCTTTATTTTTAATGCTATAGATGAATGTAAGACCAAGCAGTAAGATTGGTCTGAAAACATCTACTGGACTTGATAATGTTTCATCCAAAACACTACATTTAACTAGTGACATTATGGCCAAACCTTTTACTAATATTGTAAATACTACGATGCATGCAATCTCTTTTCCAGATAAGCTGAAGGTAGCCAGGGTATCACCTATTTTTAAAAAGGATGACCCTCTTTGTAAGTCTAACTACAGGCCTGTAAGCATGCTACCAGCTATTTCAAAGGTTTTTGAGAGAGCGATAGCTGAGCAGTTGGATGGGTACTTCTGCAGGATCTTCCATCCTTCCGGCGGAGTTACAGATGTCAATCCACCCTCATTAAACTTACGAGGAGTGGAGAAGGGCCTTGGACAGCAACCAGTGTGCTACTACCATTTTGATGGATCTGTCCAATGTCTTTGACTGTGTCCCACTGGACCTCCCATTGGAAAAGCTGAGGGCATATGGATTGGGGGAATGGTGCAGTTGAGCTCATCCATAGCTACCTACATAACAGGAAGCAATGTGTACGTGTTAGTGGTGGTACCAGTAGGGTACAAGATGTCCTTAAAGGGGACCCACATGGTTATATCCTTGGACCGAATATGTTTTAACATTTTTATAAATGATATCTTCTCTTTTACCAAAGATGCAAAACTTTTTAATTATGCTGATGACATCACACTGTCAAGTACCCATTGTGAGATGTCCGTCGTCAAAGATTCTTTAGAAAGAGAACGTTTTTAATAAATTGATTTACAGAAAATAGGATGAAGTTGCAGTTGGAAACAAGCTTATAAAGAACCTACTATTGTTAACATTGGCAATATTGTTTGTGATTCAATGTGAGGAGGCCGTCAAACGTTTGGGAGTTACCATAGAGTCGTTCTTAAATTTTGATATACAATGTACATGTTAAAAAGAAATGCTTAAAAGCATCTAGGCAGATAAATGTACTTGGGCGCCTCGGAAGGTATCTTACCTTAGCGGGGCGCAGGGCCATTTATCACCCTTTATCCTGTCAAATTTGAATTTCTGTCCCACAAAGTGGGAGTATATGTATTTCTTCGTGCGATTACCCGAAGAAATTTCGGGACCGTATCCCGACACCATGTCAAAATCGCCTTATTTAATACGTTTGCTTTTAACTGTGGTCTTAGTGACTGGCATCATATGATTGGGACTGTTTTAAAAGGAAAGTGTAAACCAGTTATGAAAAAAGAGAAAATATAGATGTTTTAATTGTTTTTATGAAAAAACTTTCACTGATGATATAAGTAAAATCCCTTTCCAGGCAACTTATGCTTTTGATGATGTTGATGATAATTATTGGGCCCATGAAAAACTTATCACTGACATTATTGATGAACAAGTAGAAAAACAGAAAAGGTGTCCATTTTTTAATTCAAACATGCATAGAGCTTTGTATAAGAAATGTATGCTTTATAAAAAAATATACTGGTTGCAAATCAGCCTCTAATTGGGTGGCATATCGTAACCATAGACATTATGTGCGTAAATTACGTAAACAGTTCATGCGCAACTATTTTTTCGAACACTGTGCAGGTGGTCCCAAATCAAAAGATATCTGGCCCACCATTATACCATTTTTATCAAATAAGGGATCTGCACAATGCA